ATATGTCCAATCATTCCATCCCAGTCTCCGTCGCGACGTCAGTGTGATATTTAGAGGTATTTAAATTATAGTACAAACTAAGAACCCAGAAATAACGTAATCGGATCAAGAAGTACTAGATGAGAACGAACGAATGTACTGTTTTTGGAATTCGAAATCAAGTTTTCAACAAGTACAAAGGAATCACCAGTTCATTCAGGCCCCCCAGTAGGGTGAGCAGCTTGCACACAACTTGACGACTTAAACTATGCAGATGACTCAGTCCTCCTATCCCATACACATCATGAAGTGCAGGTGAACAAAAGCGGTGTAACTGGAGCCTCTGTATCAGTAGGCCTCAGCATACACGAGGGAAAAACCAAGATACTCAAGCACAACATAGATCACAACAACCCAGTCTCATTTGATGAAGAAGCTCTGGAACTGGTGGAAACTCTCATGTACTTTATTTTTCAGCTTTACTGATGAACAAAGAGGATGCACTGCAGATAGAAGCGCAAGGTTTAGCAAAGAACGGGAACGATTCCAACAGTTGAAGAACATATGGAACTCTAAACAACTATCGAACATTTTCAAAGTTAGAATCTTGAATGTGAATGCCAAGACAGTTCCGCTGTATGGAACTGGAGCATCAACAACTACTATATACGTCATCAGAAATGTGGAGGTATTCATTAACAATTGTCTACACCAGATACTCAATATCTTTTAACTGAATACCATCAGCAACAACCTACTGTGGAAGAGAACAGACCAGCTGGCAGTTGAAGAGAAAATTAGGAAAAGACTCTGGAAGTGGTTAGGACATAAATTAAGGAAATCGTCGAACTGCACTACGAGGTGAGCGTTAACATGGAATCCTGGATAGAAACGGTAAAGTGGAAGGCCAAATAACGTTTTCGAAAGGATATTCATTAAGGTTCAGAATTTTAAAAGTTTCTAAATGAGCTTTCAGCTAACATTACTCAGTGAATAGTATCCAACTTGACATCCTTTTTATGAAAATACAAAGAACGTCGGTGTATGAATTAAATAGTCGCTTAGGAACTACATAAAGGATTAAATTCACTCAATGTTGTATTACTTGTATCTTTCCAATGTTATTTAGGACTGCAATAGATCAGTCTCTTGTTGGCATATGTGCATCCTATGCAGACTGCTTCGATATAGCTTTAAGTCACAAGCGTTTTAAGCAAACAGTGAAAAGTAGTACTGGGTTGGAGTCCCGGAGTGAACATCAACTCTGGAATGCAGGCATATCCAACTGACGAGTCCTAAATAAGACGAAACGCGTGTCTTGGGTCGCACTGCTAGCCACTATCCATCTTTGCTTACATGAAGGATTATTTTGTAATTGACATAAGTTTAAAAAAGAAACTTCATGTGCTCTCTTAAATCTTTATAATCTAACAATAATCCGATATATTTGATCAGGTTTTTGTCAATGTAATTATGATTTGATCTGATTTTATATAACTGTCCTATGATGTTATATTCTCATAGCTTGGTCTCATTAATTAATCGTTTGTAAATTCTACAACCCTGCATAAATTTTATTTATTAAAGCTGTAACAAGAACAACAAAAATTAGAGGATTTTATATTAAGGTAAATGGTCACTAGTTATAGAAAAATTAGAGCTGGGCATGAACATTCACCTGCTCAAGTTACCATATTTTGCGTCAATATAAAGATAGAAAAATAACACATTTAAAAATGGAAGGAATTAGAATAGTATTGGTAATAAAAACAAAATATCATATATGGGAAATATAGTTGAAGAGTGAATAAAATTGGGAAAAGAAGATCTAAAATGACATTTAAACATAAAATTTGGAAAGATATAAGGAATTACTATACATGCTCTAATACAATTTGTTTTTGACTAATGTTTCATAAGGTTTTTAATCATAGACTAAATAAATCTTGCAAACAACAACCAAGATATCTATAGGTTCCGGCAAGACTTAAACTAACGGACAATAACGTCACGAAATGGGTTATGGAAATAAAGCTTACTGTGCAGTGCAGTAGGGATTTTCAAACATTGTTAGATGCGTAAAATGTTAAATATTGTGGTAAACACGTACTTAAATTGTCAACCTTAAGATAATATATCTAATAGTTTCATGATTGTAAAATTTATGCTTCTTAGATGGATAAGCGCTCGCGCGCGAGACTGAAGGCCCTGGGTTGAAATCTTGCGAGGCGGTATCGTGGATGCGCACTGCTGAGGAGTTCCACAATAAGACGAAACGGCCGTCCACTGATTCCAGGTTTTCCGTGGTGGTCTAGCTTCATTTGATTCATTTATCTATGTTATGTAGTCTGACTTACATACACTGGTTAAAATGCCCGCTTGTTATGAGATCGTGTAAACTGGTGTAGACAAGTTTTTATGTTAAATATCCGATACCATACCACTTCATCTTCTTTTGTTTGATTGGATTTTAGTGTACATTTAAGAACCAACTTAAAATCAGTGTCTTTAACACCCCTAGTCACTTATTTTATCTATTTAAAATTCCCTATATTCTTTAATCACCTTCATATTACTCAATAATGCTGTTTGTATCTTCTAGTCTATTTAGAGCAATCCTACATAGACTATTAAATATTTGAGTAATAAGTGAACGGAAACCCTATTCCCTGAGGTAAGCATTTATTGAAAAATAAATTTCAGTTCAGTTAATAAATTGTCCCAAATGTATCATTTATTTTGGTCATTACAAATACTAATTCTATATAGATTAGCAGTGTATAAAGAAATTTCATGTACAAAGTATTCAGGAATAGAATGTATATTCTTGGAACTCATTTTAGTTCATAAAGTTTATATTAATTAATGGCCTCGATAATCTTGTACTTCAGAGAATACTAAAAATGTTTTAGATGATCAGAAAATGTAAGATTTTACAAGTCAATCATGTCTTGAATCTTGTGTAGATATTGAGGATAGTGTCAGTATATGGTTATGTAGATTATTAAGTTTTTATACACATAGTTCCCTTTATTAATTTAAAGAGAGTAAGAACAAAGGTTGGTGCAGAATAATAAATGGATTCATTTTATTCCGTTAGGTTCTCATCAGCTGCTTACAACCTAAAATATTTGAAATTCAAAGTTATTATAGATATTGACATACTTATACATTAGATGGTGATGAAGGATGAATACATGTGTATCATGATGTAGCAAAGATTTCGTTCGAGTTAATGAGGTCATAAAATTTTGTTTCGAATATATAGAGTTTGGGATGAAAGGTTCCAGAACATTGAAATAGTGATTAGAAATCATGGAACTAAAACACATTAGATTATTATGCAATGAAATAACTGAAAGTAGATTAATGGTTATAAAGAAAGATATGAATTGAAATTGGTCAGTTATGAATGATGTAATTATAAAATTCAGAAAGAGTTGGAATGACGTAATAAATAAAAAGAGGGGGGTAATGTTACCAAGGCAAAGAAAGATTTATTATTGTTTCTTTTTGTATACAAAGATCTGGTTTTAAACGTTTGATTGCCATCGTTTCGGTCAATTTCAAAAGGTTTGAATTTGATTGTTTGTTGATCACCTTGAAGAACTTCAATATATCGACTTCATGTCATGTGTCAAGGAGATGTCTGGCGATAGCGTTGCTGAATGCTTTTAGTCCGTTTGATCTCAAACCCTTCGGAATATGTTTTTTGAATCGGACGGAGGCTCTCCTTCCTGTTCTACCAATGTAACTGCTTTGACAGATACATGTAAATTTGTATACGCAGTTGGTGGTAACATAAAAGGGATACCTGTCAACCTTCGATTGTGTCAAAGAACATGTTGTTTTGGACAGGACAATCAATTTAGCTGCAGGATATGTTTTATCAATGCAGTTTTTAGTCTCATATTGATTGACCCCGTGACATTATCGCCTTTGAATTAGAGTTGAATAAAACAGGTTTTTTACTTACTGTAGTTTCTTTGGGTATTTTATCTTCACGTTTTCCATAGTTCTCAATAAATTTAAATAGGTATCCGTTATTCCTTAAACGCTTTTTAACATTTATAACTTCCTCTACTATTGTATCGGCAGTACATATTCTTTCTGTTCTGTGAAACAATGTTTTAATTGAGATCATGAATAATTTAATGTTAGAACACTATGGACAGCCTGAAAGCATTGGTGTTATAACTTGTAGCTTGTGTGCCCGGTTGATGTATGACGTGATGATACCGCCAATTAGAAAACAGTGATTTATCAATCGGACCAACGACGCATAAAACCCGTACGTGTAGTATGAAGTACTTATCGGCCCTACTTCCTGCCTAGCCCAGCCAGTTAATTCCAGAACACCAATCCGAGCCTCTGCGATATGAATAATTTATTTCAAACATACTGGGTTTATATACCAACCATACGGACTACATCGTACCATAAAATAGGAAACAACACTTGCACAAGAATTAGCCAAATGTGGCCGTGAATAAGAGAGATAGTAATTGATAGACAGGGCCTAACTCAAGAATGGTAAATCGTATAATAATAGTTCATGGATCAAAATAGAGCTCATATTAAGAGGGACATGAATATGAATAGTTTAGTTATTTAACAGTAATACGATAAATATATACGCATGGTATTGGTCCATAAATGGATCCCAAAAATTACCATTTATTATTCTTATCAGTATATAACAACTGGACGGCCGTTCCGTCCTATTATAGGACTCCTCAACAGTGCGCATCCATGATCCCGCCTCGCGAGATTCAAACCCAGGATCTATCGGTCTCGCGAGGCGGGATCGTGGATGCGCACTGTTGAGGAGTCCCACGATAGGACGAAACGCCCGTCCACTGCTTCCAGGTTTTCAATGATTGTCTAAAATCAATTGAGGATAGTTAATAAATTTTTCAATGCTTATAATAATCCCCTTTATATTTTCTAAATTTATAGATGTTTAGATTTTTAGAAAAAAAGCCTATTTATTTATGAGCTAATTGTGTTTTCCAATCGAAATGAGTCAATTAAGTCTTTTAACTGAATCACAATTCAATCGAACACAAGATAGTGCAGAAAACGTAAATAAGGATCCTAATAATGATCTAGATATTGGTGGCAATGATGATGATAATAATTTATCTGATAGGATTCGACTGGAAGAAAATGATACATTCATTGAAACTAATAGTTTAGATGAATTTCATACTAGTCAAGAATTTCAAGAATTAAATCCACTTTACCTACCTGATAATTATGATAAACTTCCAGAATCCTTTGATATATCTACATTTCCACAATCACATAAACAAAATAATTTGAAAGAATCACAACTTTTAGAATATTGTGAAAATTTTTGTCGACAGTATGCTCATCTATGTCCTGATCGAACGAAACTATTTCTGATACCAATGAATGAATGTGATATACAGAAATTTGTATGTACTACATTGAGTAAGACATATTTAAATTATCCTGAATTATACTTATGGTATGGGGCAGCCAAGTTTGTTGCTGATTTTCTCAACTTTGTACCACTTGTTCCATCAACTGAACTGCCTAAAAGACTTTTAAGTCCAATGACAACAGTCAACTTGCAAAAAGGTACTTGTTTTGAATATGCTACATTATTATGTTCACTCTTAATAGCTGCTGGTTATGATGCATATGTAGTCAGTGGTTATGCAACTAGAGAATGTTGTTATATGGATGAAACTAGAGAAACATGTCCATTTCTTATTGGAGATGAGGCAAAAGAAACTACTGATGATGTGAAAAACGAAGAAGTTGAACCAAAACGATATATAATCAAACCTGAAAAAGACCTAACATCAAAATATGAACACGCTATGACAATGAAAGATTTACAGTTTGAAGCGGAACGTGTTAAACAAGCTAGAAAGAAGCAGAACTGGCTGAAGAAGAACGTTATAAACCAACTGTTGATCCGTTATTTGGTCTTAGAATACATGCATGGGTTCTAATATTACCTGGAAAACGTGAAGTACCTGAAGCATTTTTCGTTGAAACATTGACAGGTCTTGCTAAGCCTTTAGATTGTTCGATGTATCTAGGCATAGAAAGCTTGTGGAATGATCATAATTATTGGGTGAATATGCAAGATTGTTCAACTGGTATATCTCATTTAAATTATAATCTAAATGATAGTCTGTGTTGGGAATATTTATTACCTAATGATAGCTTATTTATCGAAAGGACAGGATTTTCAAGTATTCAACGACCAGATATGTTCAATCTACAATCAACAATGAACAGTAAAACACCTACTACTAATCATCTGGTATCACCTTTATTAATCGTACCCAATTCCTTAAAATCAAAAGATAATAACTATAATTCTAGTTTCAATTTAAATGATAATGATGCTCATTGTTTAATTGATAGCGCTCATCAAGTTCGAGGAAATCTACACGTTAAATCATTAGGTAATTTACAAAATACACCATTACAACTAGATTTACCACCATCATGGACTTTACCAATTCACATTGAACAAAAATTATTTAAATTACGCTATCCGAATGGTTTGAAAAAGAAACAATATAAATATTCAATTGTAGAAAATTTTTCGCCATATTCACAATGTGATGGTTTAATTTTAAAGTTAACAATATTCCAAGATCGTGAATTAACCAATCCTATTGAAGTTAGAGAAACTTATGCTAACCGTAAAGATAAATTAATCAGTCGTAGTACGATATTAAGAACAAATTGGATTGTCGAGAAGTTTGATCATGGTCGTGAAACTAGCCATTTGATTGAACATGGTTATTATAAGACACAACAAGGTGTACATACTATACGTTATATGATATTTGATCATGATGCTAGAACTGATGGCCTGTATAAACGTGAACAAACACTCAATACAATGATAGAACATTTCAAAGATAGACATGATCGCCTTTATTATCGTGAAGTACATTTCAGTGCTAAAGTTAAAAAATTTGGCCCAGCACCAACTCAAAATAAAGATAATCCAGATGAATTAGCATTATCTACAACTAGTCAATTAAATATTGATAAAATCATTGAGAGATTTATACGTAACGAAGAAATTGAGGCAGATGAAGATATCGCTGAAAAAATATTTAATATAGCTGAAGAAAGAATTTCTCTTACTTATCATGTTGGCAAAGAACGTATTGTCCCATGTACTAGAGAATTTAATAAACCACCACCTTCAGATGACCGAAGAGATGGTATACAACTTTATCCAGACACACATGTGGCATTCCAAGTGAGTATGAATTTAAATTCAGATAAATACATTGTACTACTTAATAATAATGAGTAATACAATTTGAATACAATAATATGGAGTGGATATGCTTCATCTTTGTCCACCCTCAACAGATTCTCTTCGATACTAATTCATTCATATCCTTTTTTCTAAAACATTTACTATCTTGCTTCTTCTATTGAACTCATTAATTTTCGATATTATGAAGAGTGACATCTTCAACTGATACAACAATTTTTGTATCTATATTTAATTCTATGAATCTGACAATCTGAAAAATTTCAGTTTGTTTTCGTTTAACGAATTAATAAATCAACAAAAACTGCAGTAAATAATGTGAGCAATGACTAATTAAAGTCCTCTGTTTTCAAAAAAGCATGAAGTTTTCCAAGTTTAAATCACAAACTGATGTTAGCTGGACCATTGTTGAAAACGTGGAAGTACTAGATGGCTGTTTAGTTCTAGTATAGGAATCCTCCGCTATATACATCCATGATCCCATTGGCGAACCCCTAACGTCCAGACCACTGGAACTGTATGAAGTGCTGTACAAGCTTAAAGTTAATGGCATCTGAAAACTATTTGGTAAAGCAAGGGCCACATTCCTACAATTGAAGAACATATGGAACCAAAAAACTCTGTCAACCACTATCAAAGTTAGAATCTTTAATGCGAACGTCAAGACAGTTCTACTGTACGGAGCTGAAACTTGGAGGACTACCACAACCATCATCAAAAAGGTACAAGTATTTATGAACAGTTGTCTACGCAATATACTTAACATCCATTGGCCGGATACCATCAGCAACAGCCTTCTCTGGGAGAGAACAAACCGGCTTTCAGCTGAAGAGGAAATTAGGAAAAGACGATGGAAATGGATAGGACATACATTACGCAAATCATCAAACCGCATCACGAGGCAAGCCCTAACTTGGAATCCTGAATGGAAGCGGAAAAGAGGAAGGACAAAGAACATATTACGTCGAGATATAGTAGCAGATATGAAAAGGATTAACGACAACTGGAAAGAACTGGTAAGAATTTACCAGGACGAGGTTGGATCGAGGTGCTGGTGGGTGGTCCATGAATCTCCACAAGGAGTAACAGGAATAAGTCGAGTAGGTCGTCGTCGATCTGACAACTATCTTCCATTAGTTGTTGTGAATATCTGGCTCATACTCGATATGGTTAAACCCCATTAGTCATGATTTCCTAGAATCGAATTTCGAGGTTAATTGTGGTGTTTGAATAAACTAATGATTCCTTTGTCTTGTTGAATGCTTGATTTCGAATTCAAAATACAGTACGTTTGTTCGTGCTTATCTAGTACTTCCTGATCCAATTACGTTATTTCTTGGATTCTTAGTTAGTACCATAATTAAATACCCCTAATCACCATATTAACCCTAAGTGAGTACTTGATTATTACTAGTATAAGGGTTATGTGATGATTTTTGAATTCATGTAGTTTCTATCATAGACTGGTCTTTAATAAAATATGGTATTGTTTTATCCTTTAAAAGCATTTACGGGGAGACTATAATCCATGGACACACTAATCAGGTATAAGATAACGATTCATGGATTTCGGCGCAAAATTAATTCACCCATTTGGCTTAAACGACTTTTGGCATTATAGCTGAATTTAATTGCTCACGCTAACCACAAACCTTAATTCATAATCCCGGCCCCTAATGCCCTGGTACGGCCGAAATTGGGGAGAGTCATCTTTCCCTACAGAAATGCTCTCACATGGTCACGTGCATAAAACCACTGCCAAGAATGTCCTACTCACTGTCTTCTCACGGCATTACTGTTGTTTACGAAATCGAGAGGACGAAAAGAGAATGTCCTGCGCTTTAACTGGGTTGATGGACACAGACAGTCCACCTAGAGGAGTTGGGAGACTCTGAGTCCAAACCAACGGTGCACGTGGGCTCCATTATCCTGAGGGAACAAACGACGTATGAACCAATTGTTGGTCACCGACTATCATGGTACTGCGTCTGCTGAATTTGTTCCACTGCCGTGTGGATTAGACCTTAAGGTCAAAGGCTCTGGCCATTAGCTACTCTACAACTACCCACCACTCCCAATCAGCCTGAATGGAACATTTAGGTAGGTCCCCCAACTCTAGCTGAAGTTCGAAAGAATATAGTTAATCTGAAACGAGGAAACGCAGCTAGTCCAGATGGATTAGCTCCAGAGGACTTTAAAGATAGTGGTCCAATTTTAGCGATTAGGCTGACTAATGTTTTAGGTAAAATCTGAGAGTTGGTTGTTATCCCATCTGACTGATCACGATCACTGACAGTCCCAATATATAAGAGAGGGTCAAAATCATCCTGTGACAACTATAGAGGGGTCAGTTTGACTAACATAGCATCTAAAATACCAGCGTCAATAATTATCGGTCGCCTAACAAAGACTCGTGAACTGCAAACACGAGAAAATCAGGCTGGCTTCAGATCTGGTCGTGGTTGCATTGACAACATATTCACCCACCGTTTGCCAGGTTTTAGAACACAGGCGTGCTTATCGTCGTCCGATAATGGCGGCCTTTCTTGACTTAATAGCAGCATTTGAATCTATAGACCGATCGGTCCTGTGGCAGTGTCTGCCATTGAAAGGCATACCTCAGAAGTATATAAACCTTGTGAAATCTCCTTACTCGAACACTGTTAGTCCAGTCAGAGCTTATGGCGAACTGTCATCTCCTTTACAACATCAAGTGGTGTCTTTCAGGGTTGTCCACTTTCTTAATTTTTGTTTAACTTCATCATAGACCTACTGATGCAAATAACGTTCTCATCGACTGAATTCTTGGGCAGGAGGTTCAGTTATAGACTTAGAATACGCAAATGACATAGCCCTGTTTGGCGAAGACGCTGATAAAATACAGAGTCCTCCGGTAGCACTGAGTAACAATGCCTAAATGTTTGGAATGCACTTCTCTCCCTCTAAATGCAAGTTTTTGCTTCAGGACTGGTTTGCGTCGACACCTGAACTAAGGATAGGGAGTGAAGTGGTCTAATACATTGACAATAATAATAATTATTATTATCAGTAAATCATAAACAAATTCATAATTCCAATTCTACACACGGGTTTATGACCCTCATTTTGTCCCAGTTACTGGTCGTACACTCTTAAGGTCAATTTAGCCTCTCAAAGGTCATCCATAAATTATTGTCTCATCACATTTAAGTTAATAAAACAAACAAATTATGGTACCGTATATTCTACAACGAGTTGCGATTGTCAACAGAGGAATATCCAGTGTTGTTGACAGAAGCTTCATTGAACCCGAAAGCAAACCGTGAGTTGACACAGATCATATTTGAGACTTTTACTACTCCAGCTATGTATGATGCTATTCAATCGGTGTTGTCACTGAATGCATTTAGTCGTACAAGTGGTATAGTGTTGGACTCAGGTGGAAGCGTGACCCACACAGTTCCGATTTATGAAGGTTATGCGTTGTACCATGCTATTTTGCGTCTGGACCTTGCTGGTAGAGATCTTACCGACTTAATGATGAAGATCCTGACTGATACAGGTTGCAGTTCCTTTGTCTACTCGTGGAACAAACTCAAGCGCAAACCTCCGAACAACGTTTTGCTTTATAGTAAGTTACTAGCCTTAGTGAGAAGGGAAACATATGGGAAACTGCGAATGTTTTGATTTCTGGAGGAGGCCGAATAGCAGCAGACTGTAGGTTAGGTTTATGGATGTACAGGCGTACTGTCGTAAGCCCTGTACTTGATTGTTATAGAGGAGTTAGTAAGGAGAGCCACAACAGGAATGTATTCTGAGGTGTCTTTGCGTAGCTGGAGGCCGGTGTAACGGACGGAGAACGCTTAAAATCCCTCTACATAATTTTGTTGGATAGTTCTGTTATTTACTTGTTCCTTCTCTCTGTCGTGTATTTTAACCTTTGTTCAGATATCTTTTGACCAAAATTTATGTTCTTCAGTCTTTCTCGTCAGAGCTTTCATCATGTGATCTTGATTAGAGACTTACCTTTTGTTGCCTAACTTTCTATTGCACGTTGCCGGACTATTGACAGTAGGGTTGTGTTCGACTAGGCTCAAGGTCACGGCGTGGATCAGTGTGTGACTCTTAACCTTTGACTGTTCACTTGGGAAGATTGCTGGAATCCCTGCAGATAGATATATGATCTCATCTTGTTGGGAATATTTTCATTGATTCTCAGGTATCGAACTCTTTTGTATTAATTCTTTCTTTTGTTGTTTAGCACGCTACTTTGCGTTAGAGAAACTTCTGACTGTGTAGCACAGGCTGTACCATTTGAGTATCTTGTAATTTTGATATAATTTGTTTTATTTCCTAAATCTGAACGGTTTAAATTGAGCACACAGTTTGTGTTCTGATATGATTTAATACGAGTATCTCAAAAACGCTTGGTACGCTATACAGAAGAACGTAGCCTAGTCTAGTCGAATAAACTCTGGTTCGCCAGTTCTGTGTTCAAAACGACTATTGGCAGTTCAGTTGTTACATACTAATATTTACATTCCATGGTGGTCTTGCTTCAATTGGGTCATGATTTCAACTATTGAAATTACTACAATCTCCACAAAACCCCTTATGATATAATCTTTCTGTTCATTAATATAAATACTGATATAATACTTATGAATTGTTTAATTCGTTGTTTTTCATTTACAGGTCAACTTATTCAATAAACCTAAAACACAAATTGAAATTTACAATATGCTTATTACATTATTAGATAAAGAAGAAAAATCTAAGGAATTTATATATAAATCTATTTATGAAATTCATTCTATATTAAATGAACGTACAATTGAAGATTTACATGTTACCTTAGATATTGATCCATTTGATACATTACATAATATAGAAATACATGAATTACGTAATGAATTAGAAAAATTAGCTAAAAATCAACAAAATTATAATGAAGATATAGAAATTGATTATTTACAACCTTATTTAATACAATACGAAATGATAAATAATAAGTTAACCAAGGAACAAGCTTTATTAATACGAAATGAATGTTTAAATGATTTTAAACAAATTTTAATTAATAAAATGAATATAATACAATTGAATTATGAAAAAGAACAAGGGAATTTAATTAAAAAACAACAATGGTATCAATTAAATCAAATGAATTTAACTAAACAAGATGAACAAGATTATCTAGTTTATTGTGATGATGTAACATTGAAAATTAACACATTACAATCATTATTGAATTGGTATAAATTAAAAGCAACAGAAAAATATGAAGATTTAGAAAAGAAGCTAAAATCAGATGCACGACTTAATGAATTATTACTATAGATATATGGATGAATAATTTTCTTTTTCTCTATTTTGTTTTTCTTTTTGTTTTGTTTCTTGTTTTTGATCTGCAAATATTTGTACTACATGTAAATGAGTGGTTGCATGTAGATAATAGTAAAGTGAAATGGTAAGGTGATAATAATACTTACCTACTTACTTACATACTTAACTACCTACTTACTTACTTATGCCTGTTACTGCCAATGGAGCATAGATGACCAACCGGAATTCTCCGATCCACATCATCGTGAAGATGCCATAGGTATTCAGATTTTGACAACGCTTTAACCAGTAACACCCTCTATATGAAGCGTACCCACCAAGTGAAATCAAAAGACGGAAGCGAGGAGGTTTGAAGATATATTTGATATGCTATCAATATATTGGGAATCGTCTGATTTAATCTGGCTAGCGATTGCAGTAGATGTTGAGCACGGCGTTTCCAGTCGTGATGTGGTGCGGATGCATGACCGAGCGCCTTCAGCTAGATGAGTCCATTAAAACATGTGGTCAGCACCCAATGTCCAAAACGTACGGAGCTATTCATTCAGAAGATTTATTTACAGCTACAATGTGTCCCATGTATACAATTTATACGAGTCCACAAATTACAACCAAATTCATTCGGAGTAATGCCGTCGTGTGGCTAGACTACGCACACATTTGACATTTCCAGAAGTCTAAAACGGTACCGAGACAACCATGAGTGAGTGCAAAGATATCAAGTGCTACATACAAGCTCGTGACAGATATATTGGATATTGGATACGAGCTTGTGATAGAGATATTGGACACGAGATATTGGTTGTCATGTTACGAGTAAATGAACGTTTTCGAACTCTCAAGAGTACCTTCATGTAATTTGATGTCTCAGTAAAGTTTCCCATTTTGTCACATTCTTAGTTCGCTGATCACTTCTTTTTACACTATTCGAAAAGATTTGCTTTGCTTTGACCACACAATCATGAAATCACGATTTAATTCAATCCATATTTCGCTAAATCACAATAAAACAGAATTGAAAGCGAAAAACAACTCAGCAAAATAAACAGAACGAGCGTCCTAACATTTCTTCGAGTTTATAGATATATATGGAGGTGAGTGGATGAAATAGTTAATTAAATTTTGAGTAACTACTACAATCAGACTTATCAATACATTTTTTCAAATGCCATGAAATCCTAAATTGGTCTCGGGACTAAACAGTTGTCTCCCGTTTTAATGCAAGTAGAATAGGCTAAAGGTCCTTAAGGTGTCGTTAACTATCAAGCCATGTGTGAAAAATCTTAAAGCACTACTCAGGATAGTTAGAAATGCTGCTTTACTCTGACCATAAAGAAAGAAATGCTCTGCACACGCATAGAGTAGCTCTGATACCGTCCAACGAAGTAAGTCAAGCACTTGTAGGATGGGAATCTCATAGATTCATGATCATCAAAGCATTCTTCAAAAAAGAATGTTATCACAATAAATGTTATCCAGTACTATGCACCTGTCAATTACAACAATGATAAGTCTGATTGTAGTAGTTACTCAAAATTTAATTAACTATTTCATCCACTCACCTCCATATATATCTATAAACTCGAAGAAATGTTAAGACGCTCGTTCTATTTACTTCGCTGAGTTGTTTTTCGCTTTCAATTCTGTTTTATTGTGATTTAGCGAAATATGGATTGAATTAAATCGTGATTTCATGATTGTGTGGTCAAAGCAAAGCAAATTTTTTCGAATAGTGTAAAAAGAAGTGATCAGCGAACTAAGAATGTGACAAAATGGGAAACTTTACTGAGACATCAAATTACACGAAGTACTCTTGAGAGTTCGAAAACGTTCATTTACTCGTAACATGACAACCAATATCTCGTGTCCAATATCTCTATCACAAGCTCGTATCCAATATCCAATGTATCTGTCACGAGCTTGTATGTATCAGTTGATATCTTTGTAATGACTCACTTTTATCACGAGAACGCGATTGGTTTATTGAAAAGAATTATTATTATAGCCAATTGTACCAGTGACTGTTTCAATGTGCTTTTGTTTTACTGTGCTAAAAAGCATCCATTATTCACACACTTTGATTAAGACTTCGCGCGAATTCAGTTACGTTCTGCAACCAAGCTTGTATCCCGGCACGATCTCGGTATCCTTTCGATACCACGAGATCGCCAGCGAATATATCTCTATTTGGTCCATTAACTGCCTTCTGATATTTGGCTTCTCGGGGATTTTATGGGTTTATTTGGTTACGTTCAACCTTCGCCTTCTGATTTACTTGGCACGTGCGTTTCTTGGTAGCGGTGTTCATAGTTAATCTCAACTCGACTACACGCTACATATTTGAACTCACTCATCGTTGTCTCGGTACCGTTTTAGACTTCTGGAAATGTCAAATGTGTGCGTAGTCTAGCCACACGACGGCATTACTCCGAATGAATTTGGTTGTAATTTGTGGATTCGTATAGATTGTATACATAGAACACACTATAGAAAATCAGATCGATAATATGTACATCAAGAAGAAACATTGATGCAGAATAGTATGAATTCATATTATTTCGAGGTTTCTCGTCAGCTGCTTGCAAACCAAAATTGTGATAGAATTTTTACATGGAGATAGTGTGAAAAAATTGACATAAATGAGTGTAAATCACTTGATTACAATAATAACTATATATATGCTAGAAACAGGTCAAAGGTCAAAAGAGGGGGGTTAATCCAAGGTGGGTGGTGTAATAATTTAGTGAAGTTCATAAATTGTATGATAATTGTAGAGATTAATGGAATTAAATAATGATAAGGTAGATTACGTAATAATAATTAAATAGGGTTTGGAACGTTAAGATCATTTAAGAGGATCAGGTGGTGGAAATGTGTGGATAAAATTTATTTTAAGAATTAGGTAATAGGGGGGAGTATAAAATATCTTAGAATAAGTAAATGAATAAAATAATCAAACCACAAAACAAACAAACAGAAACAAAAAGGATTACAAAAAGATTACCAGGGTAGTGATAAGTTTATTACAGTCTCTTTTTGGATGCATAAGTCCGGTTTCAGTTTCTTAATTGCAATGGATTCAGCAAAGCGGAGAGTGGTAGTAGTTCTTTGTCTATTGATAATTTTAAACGCGCGCATAATATCGATGGTATGCCCGGTGTCAAGTAGATGCCGAGCTATTGCACTGTTAAAAGCTTTAGTCCCTCGCAGCGTCAAGTTCTTTGGAATATGCTCAGAAATGCGAACCTGTACTCTTCTCTCAGTTCTTCCAATGTATGTGCTACGGCACGTACATGTGAATTGGTAAACTAGCCCGCTGGCTTACTAGATGCTTGGAACCAATCCGTAAAAAACTAGCAGCCTACAGTTTGACATTAAGGTTATCAAGTTTTTGTACAAATTCAAAGCTGTCTTTCAAACTGTAGGCTGCTAGTTTTTTGCGGATTGGTTCCAAGCATCTAGTAAGCCAGCGGGCAAGTTTACCATGTAAAAATTCTATCACAGTTTTGGTTTGTAAGCAGCTGACGAGAAACCTCGAAATAATATGAATTCATACTATTCTGTATCAATGTTTGTTCTTGCTCTATTTAAATTCATAAAGGGAACCAATTGCATGAAATATGTACATCTCTAGAATATTTAGAAGGTCAATGGAACACGTGAGAACAAGGAGAGGAGCTGACATAGCTTCGGATCACCATCTGGTGGTGGCCAAGATGAAACTGAAACTAAAGAAACACTAGACAGTTGTGGAAATAGCATTATAAAGGTTCAATACAGCCTTCCTATGAGATACTAACAGACTTAACCAATTCAAGATAACTCTGAAAACCATGTGTCGAGCCTTACAGGATCTACTGAAGGAAGGAACTACTATAGAGGACAATTGGAAGTGCATCAATCAAGCACTATTTTCGACGGTTCAGGAGGTTGTTATTCATATTACTCATATACAGTAAATTCTGTTTCAAATAAATATCATATGGAAAAGATAGATATCAAATGTCAATAACGACAACACCGAAATTATCAAAGTAATGAAACTAGGTGGGTAAAAAGGTAAATAAATGAATATGAGTTAGTGATACCTACAAAACGAATGGATTTCAACCGGTTCAGTTGTAAGATAGTAAATCACCGATGGCAATGGTCGGTGTGTCGCTCAATTTCGTGGATCAGTTAAAGTTAGACATTAACACCGTCAGATGCCAGCCGGCTCAATGGTCTAGAGGTGGAGATTAACATAAAATTATTGCATTTTTCTGTTTAAATTTAAAGCAATTAGTTCCATTTGATAAATTTCGATAATGGAATAAGAAGATGAAGATTATCAGGATTATGTGATGATATATTAGCACAATACATTTCGAATAATCGGATCACACATTATATAGCTGCAAAGAACATTCATATGTAAACATAAAAGGTCAACGAAACTAGAAGTGAAGGGTAAGAAGAGACAAGGTGAAAAACCATTTGAAACCTGATCACACTGTATAGTCAGCTAATATTACCAGAATAGGTTCAAGATGAGAACAAATGGTTTTCGAATACACAAAGGATGTCTGCATTTTCGTATGATTAAGGCCCTTTCACAATATCACAAAAGCTGAGTTAACATCAATCTGATGGCTTGTTCCAATCATGTGTTTGATAATATAGGATGATGGATGTTTATCACCTACCCATATTAGGTCATTCAATTCTATTTGTTTCTACAACCATTTAGGTACATGTTCACACACTCTAATTTTCAGATCACGATTACTCTTCCCAATGTACGTGTGGTCACACACACACACATTTAAATTGGTAAACACAATGGGATGTGACGCAGTCGTTTTGTCGTCTTTTAAGTGTTCGATGCAGTATTAACCTTGTTGTTTCATTGATAATGACATTTGCTGCACAATATGTCGTTCTAATGACTGATTTAAGCCTTTGCTTCAATAAAAAGGCTATTTAACTCACCTCCAATGCTAAGGTGATGTAGA